AGAAATATGAAATGTCTTTATATGGTCTGCATAAACCTACCTCAAGTGGTATTGAATGGATTTCAATTAGTTTGAGGTAAGAAAATACTTCACAGAAGATTACAGGCCAGGAAGACATATGGTTTTTAAAATCTTGGGTTAGCTATGAATTTCATGTTTCATGGATCTGGCTATGGGGTTATATATACATTTCAAGTATGGTACTCTGAAATGAGGCTTTTATTCCAGCTGTGAATTAAATTATTATATTAGATAAGTTTTTTAACTTAAAAATTTCTGGTCTGTAAATATGACTGATTATTCTTAAAATACTTCATCTGAAATATTTGAGTGTGTTGGGAGAATATTAAGGGTGGTTTTGTTTTTGAAAATATCTGATTAAGGGGGATGGTTCTGAGAAAGAATAAACAGGGACCATTAGGAGGTAGAAGATGGTGCTGAGTGGGATTTGGTGTTGGAATTTCAAAGCCTATTTGTTCCATACTTGACAGAATCTTTTCTCTGAAATAAACAAAATGCAAAAGCCACACCTGATTATCTTCAAGGATGCCTGTATTTGAATAGAGAAATAGATTTTTATGACTAAGGAGAAAAATCATACAAAAAAAATGTCCCAGGTGCATAATGTGATGTGTCAGATAATTGTAAGTTTTTTTTTCTTCCCCCTCAATTTCTTTCTGCTGCCCTGACTCTGTGTCTCTTTCATGAGGGGAAAATGGTTATGATGCTTGTCACTATGAGCTCATAGTGTGTGGGCTCCATCCTCGATAAACGAGTTGAAGAAACTACTTATTAAGGCCCTACTTTAAGGTCTGAGGGGAGTGCTGGCCACAGTTACTGTCTCTTTAGGAGACACTACTTTTACTATTCAGGAGTTGCTCATAGATCTTCAAAAATAGTGGGGAGAGCAGAGAGGACAATAGTGGCTTTAATGCCACTAGACCCCAACCCTTTCTATTAGCACGAGAGCAAAGACGTACCCCTCTCCTGCCCAATGGGAGACAGCACTAGATCTGATATCAGTATGATCTCTTCTGACGCTTAGACACTGAAATGCTGGTGAACAACTGCTGGAGAGCTGCAGCTGTAAGAATGAGTTCCAGGCCCATTTCCTAGGAGCAGGCTAGCTCCCTGTTCTTTTTCTCTTCTCACAGCAGGCTTCCGGGCCTTTTTCTCTTGGTAACTGTCACCACTAGTTCTGTTTAGCCCCTGAAGATAAGCACGTAGGCCCTTTATATTTTAAGATTTTACTGTTAAACAAAACAAAATAGCAGCATTAGGAAATCACAGAATTCCCAGACCTGATTCCCTTCTGGAAGCCCTTGGGACATAGCTTTTATTTCTTGTGTGGGGCTTTCTTTTTTTTCTAGCTTCTTTCCCCTTCTCCCATTAAATTAATAGTTTGTTCTCAAGGATGCCTTCCTCCCGCACGTAGGCCTGAAGATTCCTACTTCCTTATTCCCACCTGGGAGCCTGCGTCTTGGGGATGTTCCACAGGCATTGGACTCTGAGACATTCTGGGCATTTTCTCAAAGCACTCATTTTCTTTAGCAATCAATCCAAGTAACAGATTCTTATCCAATGTGAAGTATTCTTTGAGCCTTCCTTTTCCAAAATTCAGCTTAAAACATAATTGTCCTGGACCATGCCAAGGCATGATTTACCTACATGTGAACTCACTGATGATATTTGATTAGTAAAAGATCACTCAATTAGTGAAGAGTGATGGTAAGTTGGCCAGGCCAGAAATCTCACCGGCTGAGATCCTCTAGCAAAGTCCATGCTGTCATTGTGTCTTCTGCGAGCTGGCTTCAGATGACATCTTTTGCTTTTTGAAAACAATATTCCAGACGTGAATAAGAAACCATGAGTCATACAATAAATATAATAGTAGGCTTGTGCCACGGCTGCTTTTAGAGCATTGTATTTTAGTGCTTGTTTAATTATCTGTTTGCTATAAAGGTTGGTAGTCTTGGTTTTCCTCTCCAATGTAAACAAAGTAATATTATTTCCCTTGCTACTTGCTATAAGAGTAGGAATTCTTAAAAAATTTTTTCTTGTTCTCGTTTCAACTTCCACATAGTTTAGAATGCGTAGTTTTCAAAGAAGTTTGTTTTTTAAAACAATTTTCCTCTAATAAGTTCAAGAGGTGAAATAGAATTTTCATCTTGAAAGTAAATGAGTCCTGTCACTACTAGTAAAAAACATATTATTACTGAAGACGAATTTCAGAGAGAGGGCTTATTGTCAGCTGTGACACGTCTAACAGGGATGGCAGTCTAAGGTCTAAGACTTCAGCTTTGGCAGTCCACGAATTTGATTTCTTCAGCTCACAGAGTTGAGCAAACTCAGGGGTATGGACTGCAGTTAACTGTTCAGTACGTTTTCTCCTTTGTGGCAGAGTCTTTACTGGAAGCAAAATGACAATCAAAAGTCTGCATGGTGATCATGGAGTCAGAGCCAAAGGGAGCCAGATGGTCTGAGTGTCATATGTCAGCCAGCCTTAGGAGCTGGATGTCCTTCCCTGCACTCCAGAGGCAGTGTTGTAGAACAGAGAGCATTTCTCCTCCTCTTGGCTGGTGAGTCTGTCTTTCCTGCTGGCCTAGTGCTGGCAACTGAGCATGAATAGCTTCTCTTGTTAAAATAGAACACAAAACCCTCTAAGGTTTGAGCAGATGAGAACTCTGAACGAGACTCTACATGCAGTTACCAGCTTGTTCTTTTGAATTTCCCCTCCCCTTCCAGTTCTTTCCCTTTGATTCTGGGTGTTCATCATCCTCTTCACCCCCAAGGGCCTGTTGTGCCCTCTAAAAAAATGGCCAGAGTCAAACATCAGACCTCTATTATTGTTCTCAGCACAGTTGAGATGGGCTGGAACAGTGAATGGACGGACATCTTATTAAAATTAAGAGAAAACTAAAAGAAAACAAACATGTACCGAAACTATAAAAGCCTCAGGCTGATGATGAAGGATAGATTTCTGTATATGAGCTTGGTGTAAAACCTAAGCCAAACAGTTCATCGTGACCAGGTCAAACAATGACTTCATCTTCTAAAGTGATGAGGCAAAGTACTGCCTTTTTCAAAGCATCTTTGCCTCAGTCAGGCAGGCATATCAGCCTGGTTTACTTTTGCAGATGTCTAATCTTATTTTAACAGATTCTTATATATGAAATGTATATTTCATGCTTAGAGTTGTATCATTTCTGACATTGTCCTCAAATTCTAGGGGGCACTTCATGAAGCCCAGAATGTCCTGATTACAAAATAAGTGTGCCAGAGTCATAAGAATGACTTCTATTTTAGCTCTTTTAGAATGTCATTAGGAATGCATTTAAAAAAATATTCAATACTTTTCAATCGATAACAGCCATTGTTTTTGATGTCCAAATTGTTCCATCTTTGGCCAATAGGGGCTATTTACGTGGCTCTTGTGTCCTTTTAAGATGACCCCATTGGCTTTGGAGCACTCCTTTCCTTTCTGAGCTCATGTCGATGTTTCAGGTTCATCTTGTACTTTTTCTGGCTCAGATCTGTAATCAGTCACACATCAAAGGAGCCTTGGCTTCTTTTGGTGGGGAATGGTTTTTAGAGACCACAACCTAGTTGCTGGGGGTGTTCATTGCTGCTGGGTTGTCCTTACCTCTAAACTTACTCCATGGGTATATGTGTATTTTTGAAAGGAAAAAAGATGAGTTCATACTAGTATTTCCAACTTAAATATACTATTGAAGGATTTAAGAAAAAGAATTTCTTTGATTATACACATGCATTTTCTGTTACACTGAAAACATCTTGGTTCCTTTGGACATTAACACAATTATTTGCTTTATCTATTCTATAGTGCACATAAGTATTTAAAAAATAATGCCAATATTAGTAATGAGAATCATGCTACTGAATGAAATGTAAGATTTTGTTTCAGCTCTATTTGCCTTTGGAATATATTCTACCATTTGTGTACAGTCATAATATTGTATTCTAAAGCAACTTATTTATTTTCTGTGTTCTTTTGCCATCAGAGATATTCTGTTAGGTTCATTTATTTCTATTCACTTCCATTTTTAGGGTGTTCTTTTTATTTAATTTTTTAATATTATTAATATAACATGTTATTCTAGAGTCAAAACTATGTAAGGTACATCCAGAGAAGTCTGTTTTCCATTCCTGTCTCTTCCACATAAATATTTAGTTTTTGGTTTATCCACCCAGTATTCCTTTTCTATATGTTAGCAAACATACTTATCTTTGTATCCGCCCTTCCCCCCCATATCCTTTCCTTTTTCCTCATTCATTTTTATGATTAATATTACATTGGTGAAAGTGGTAGTTTAAGAATCACCCTTCCTTTCCGCCCCTCCCCCCTCCCTTCAGTAATGCCAGCTAGTAGCTCTGAACTACTGAATCAGGGATTTGGCTGGAGAGGCGAGGAAGCACGTTTTTAAATTAAAAAACAAACAAACTTCTTTTAAATGGGAATATTCTTTTTTTTTTTTTTCTTGAAGCCATTATTCCAAGAGAAAAACCATTATTATTATTTTTTTTTACGTGTTCGCCATGTGTCTCTAAGCTGCCAGGAAAGAGTTTAACATAATTTAGGATGAAGCTAGTTCTTCACCAGCAGAGAAGGTGTTGCCAGATTCGTCCTGTGGTCGGCTGACTGACCCTTCTGACTCTGCTCAGATGAAGTGGGCATTTGCATCTCTCTGGTGTTCTGCACCTGAGACTTACTCCCTTCCGTGCCCCTTCAGCGTCTCCAGATCTTGCGAGAAGCACGCAAATCTCTGTCGCTGCTTCTGGTCCCTAGTTGATCACCCACCCACTCCGGGGTTTCCGGGCTCTGCAGCTCTGCTGCTCCCGGGTGCAGGTGCTGGGAGCGCATGGGCACGCGGGAGCTGGAGCTGCCCCGCCTGCTCATGGTAATGCCGGGATTGGAGGCGGGAGCACCGCCTTCCTCTCCCTTGCGTTAGCTTTCTCCCGCCCTCCTCCCCGCCCCAAGCCCTCTTCAGCCTCAGCTGTGCAGGCTCCGCACTGCAGATGCCCACCGGCTGCCTTACGTTCCGCGGCTCCCGCGGTGTCCGCCGGTCTCCTCGACCCCCAAGCTCCGGCCACAGTCTTGCTGCCCTCGAGAGACCCTTGCCTGAGCCGACTCGCAGAGCCACTGGAGCGAAGCTGCTACGTCGGCGGGGCAGGGGGTGACTCAGGCAGACGGTGCCTGCACGGGAGCCCGGGGCACTCCCGGATGCGGCAGGACAAGCTTACCGGCTCCCTGAGGCGTGGAGGGAGATGTCTGAAGCGGCAGAGCGGTGGTGGCGGCGGCGGCGGCGGCGGTGGTGGCGTGGGCACCATCCTAAGCAATGTGCTCAAGAAACGTAGCTGCATTTCCCGAACCGCGCCCCGGCTGCTCTGTACTCTGGAACCGGGTGAGGACCTGGGGCTGCAGATGGGGCACTGGAAAATAGTGTGGCGCCCTGGGAGCTGGTGGTGCTGCGCCTGAGCCTCAGCTGGACTCCGCCTAGGCCCGGGTGTGCCCGTGAGCCGCCCAGTGCGGGGCACCGTGGCTTGTCGCAGGCGGGGCTGGATCAGCCTTGGGTAGCAGAGAGCAGACCAGGGCCTGGGTGGGGGCAGGGGCCTCCAAGGTATGGAGGACCCGCTAATTTTGTCTGTTGCCAGCTGCCCCCTCCTTGTGGCCTGTGCACGGTCCAGTCAGGCTTTTGCCTCGACCTAGGGAAGTGCTGGCGCTTGCCCAGGCTATCAGAGGCCGCGCAACGAATTGTGCTCCAGCTTCATAAGAAGCCAGACCTTGAAAGAGGTGTGTGAAGCAGAGAAAGGCACAGGTGTGATACTTGGAGTCTGAGGGGGGCAGCGGCTGCGAAGGAGAAATCAGGTGCATTTTCCTGAGGGTCCTTGCTATGAGAATACCGGGGTCAGCTCTCCTGGACCCTCTAATTTGTGTGTCCGGGTAGGAAGAGGGTAGGAAATACTCCTGTAGCCTAGAGATCTTTTCTTATAGGTAAAGTCCGGGAGTGTGCCCGGCTGTGCTAGGCTAGGCCCTTTTTTGCTGTCAGCCTGTGTTTACACTTCCCTGCTTCTCCAGGCTGCATAACTCCGCGTCTGCTCCACCACCCGGCATCCCTCCCTGGGGTTTTATGGGCTCAGAGCTTTCTGACAAGAGTGGCCGCAGAGGGAGCCGGCTGTACTCACACCTATAATTACCGCTCACCTGTCCCTGGAGTGGCACAAGCTGGGTTCCAGGCGGGTTTGTTTTCCCCCAACCCCTGCTTCCCAGCGCTTTTGGGGACCTATCCTGAGGCCGTAGGGGAGAATCTGCGGAGGCACTGAGCCCCAAAGGGTGGAACACGTGGCTGCCTTTCCAAACCTCGTGGTTCCTTTGTTTTTCTCCCGGAGGAAGTGTCTAGTTACAGAGATTGTAGTATTTATTCACCTCCTTCCTTTACCCTTAAAAAAAAAAAAAAATCTCCTTCCCACATTAAAGTGTTTTGTATTTTTGAATCTGGAACAGCTGTGATTACCAGATGAAATATAAACCCTCCCCGCTCCCTTATTCAGTTAGAAGAAAAGAGGTGAACATGACCTGATTCCGGTTTTTTTTGTATGCAGGCGGCGAGTAATCAATTCCAGTTAAATCCTGCGACTAATTTTTGATCGGGAGAAAATAGTTGTGATTTTGACTAATCCAGCCAGGTTTCAGCTCGGCAAGGCAATTGGCAGGACTCCCAGCAAGTGCTCTGAAAAAGTCAAAGGAGCATATTTGGTCATACATACAGGGAACCTGGGGTTTTTAGGTCGGTAGAAATAATTCAGTGCGGGACCGATTTTCCTCGTCTTTGTTATAATAAAGCAAACGTCATGACTATACGCTCCTCCATTCAGCACCCTGTGTCTGGACAGCACCCTCACAATGAGGTTTGTTTCATCACGCCTTAAATCCTGCGTTCCAGCTGGAGGCACTCTTGTGACCGTTGTATTATTGCTCTGCACTGACACTGGACTTCAATTATTTTATTTTTATATTTGGTTGATTACTGATTAATTTATTGGGGTGGCATTGATTAATAAAATTATATTAGGTTTCAAGTCATCTGTATATTGCATTGTGTGTTCACCACCCAAAGTCAAATCTTCCATCACCATATATTTGACCCCCTATACTCTTATCTACCATCCCCCTCTCCTCTCCCTCTGGTAGCCACTAAACTATTGTCTATGTCTACAAGTTTTTGTTTTGTTGGTTTGTTGCTTTTAGTTACATATCCCACATATGAGTAAAATCACAATAAATAATTGGATAAAGATGTAGTACATATATACAATGGAATATTATTCAGCCATAAGAAAAGATAAAATACTACCATGCTGAGCGAAATTATCATGTTTAAATGAAATAAGCCAGACAGAAAAAGTTGAGGCTGAACTTCATTTAAACCAACTCAGAATAATGAGAATTGTAGGTGTACTTAATATATCTTTGAAAAGAAAATCTTATCTGTCTAGGCAGAATATGGCTTGGGCCATGAAGCTTTGAAAGTAAATATCTTGGGATCCTCTACTACAGCTTGACTTCAGAAATCTAGGACCCAACTCATGATACTCTTCTAGGACTCCGAGAAGAGCATCTGCATACTCTCATGGGCTTGGACAAATCAGACACATCACCTTCTAGCTTCTTGTCTCCATATATATGTTTTTAAAAAGACAAGTCTACTTTATTATAATTTTCAAATTCTGAAGATCATGCCTTTCCATGTATCAACCCCTAAGTAGTGGAAGTTGTAGAGAGGTTTTCAGTATACCTAATTTGTAGTCAACATCTTAGAAGCAAAAAAGTCATAAATAGTAACCATAAATTGTAAAACTGAATGCTATTGACAATGTTTGTATATCTTGGTCCTTGAACTTTTAAGTAATAAGTCTTGAAAAGTGAATTAAAATGTTATGTCATTGATTGTGAAATTGTAAGAAAAGGATAAATAGCAGTTTTAGATTTGATTAAATTATTTTTAAAATAGAATTTAAGTGGAAATAAAACTTGTCATTTAATTTCATCTCATACTTCTAATTTCGGCACATACTTCTAACATGGAATTCTAAATAAAAGCCCAGTATAAATATTAAGCATATGGTCTTTACGTAGTCTCCTAATTATTTACTTCTATTCCCTAGATTGAGATCTGAAGGAAAGAAGTTTTTCTTAAGTTGTGGATAACTTAGAATTAGAGATCAATTATATTTTTAGCTTGTAGCCTATCATTAAACATACAAACTTTTATCTTCAATAACTAAGCCTATCAAGACAGAATTTAAAAATATGTGAAAATCTCCAAATAGGATTGTTAAGGATTCCATTAGTGAGAAGGCAATGGCATTTTTATAACTTTTGTTATTTCCACTTAAGTTTCCTTAATAGACTTAATCTATGCAAGTATCCTAGGAAACAAATTCTGTAAGTAGAGAATTCTCTTTCTAGGTTTCATAAATATTAATTATATCACACTAAGTGATTTATAGTTAATCGTCACAACAATCTACTCAGGCATTATTATCCTACTTTTAAAGATAAAGAGTTGAGATTGAGACAAGTTAAATCATTTGTTCAACTCTAGGCTGAAGTTGAATGGAGGTCTATAAGACTCCAAGCCTGTGGTGTCATTTCTGTTGTTGTTGTTGTTGTTGTTGTTTTTGCACTACTACAGACAGCTGTGGAAACCACCAACCTATGTGAAAAGCTCCATTCTATGGCCATAGGATATTTTTCTATTTTAATATTGTTTTAACAAAGTTGACTAAAATTTTGTAAAAATAAGTATTTTAAAAAGTTCATGATGATTCAGTAGAATCAGGTTACTTTTTACTTTGATATAATTTATTTTATCCCAAAATAACAGTTACTTATGTGTTTTTCTTTTAGGAGTTGACACAAAGTTGAAGTTCACTCTTGAGCCATCTTTGGGTCAAAATGGTTTTCAACAGGTAACTTTATTTTTGGTTTTTAGAAATAGTCTTATTTTGGGCTATCTACTGGGTATACTTCGATATATTCTCACAGCAAGAAAATTAGCATATGCTTTTGTGTACATAAGCAGACAAGTCAGTTTTTAAAATTATAGATAAAATAACTTATGAAGCTACAAGTGGCCTGGGTTTATATTTGTGATGAAAAATTTTGTACTTTCTATTAATGGTAAAATTGTGAAAAAATTTAAAAAAACAAACGTCTATCATTTTGAATTCATAACATGTTTCGATTTCTGAACCAGTGCTTCTCAATCATTGCGTGTGTATTGCAAATGGATTACAGATGTGTTAAGGGTATCTAAGGGGGCACTGGAGCAGTCATAGTCCTCAGACCAGTCACATCTGTCTTAAAGAAGCTTTAATTGTTTACCCCAGTGTGCTGTACAAATTTTATCATACCCTATGGATGTCAAGATGGAAAAAAGGTCGGAAAGTGCTTATCCAGGTCAATATTATCACTCTTAATATTTCTTCTTTATTTCTAGTGGTATGATGCTCTCAAGGCAGTTGCCAGGCTATCAACGGGAATACCAAAGGAATGGAGGAGAAAGGTAAGGAGGATTCGTAGGGCTAAAATACAAATAGACCATCACTTTGTCCACTTTTAAAGTCTCTGGAATGTGAAATAAAAACCAGTAGAAAATAAAAACCAATTCAAAGTTTTTGTCTTTATGAAGTTTACAATGAATAAAATATCAAACATGTCAGATGGCGATAAGTACCATGGATAAAAATAAAGCAGAGAAATAAATTAGGAGAACGTGGAGAAATAGGGATAAGGAGAAAGAATTTTAAATAGCAAAGTGACATTTGAATAGGGCCACGCAGGACGTGGGCAGTGGACCATGAAGCTAGTTTGGGGATGAGTACTCCAAACAGAGAACGCTCTGGTGGGAGCATTTTAGGAGTATACAAGCAAAAGCAAGAGGATGAAATGGCTGAAACACAGTGGACAAAGTGGGAAGCAAGAGGTGAGAGGATCATAGAGGTAATGTGATGGGTTCGGGGGGTGGCAGATCATATAGGACCTTATAGGCCATAGTAGGACTTTGTCCAGTGTGAGATGGGAAGCATTGGGTAGTTTTGAACAGGGAGTAACATGACATAACTTATATTTTAAATGGACCACTCTGCCTACTAACTTGAGAATATGAGGGACAAGGGCAGAAGCAGGGAGACCAGTAGGAAAATTACAATAATTTACGCAAGTGATGGATCAGGTAGTGGAGATGGAGAGAAAGGGTCAGATTCTGGATATATTTGGAAGGCTGAGTTGATGTGAATTCCTGTTGGATTGAAATGAGATGTAAGAGAGATGTCAGTGATGACTTCACAATTTTGACCATCTGAGCTACTGGAAAGGGTAGAGTTACTATTTACTCAGATGGGAGAAGCAGATGTATGTGTTTGTATGTTTGTATATACAGGTGAGATGATGATGGATTAGATGATTGGTTTTGGATCTGTTAAGGTTCAATACCTATTAGATGTCAAGTTGAAGATGTCAAGTGAGTGTTTGGACATATGATTCTGATGCTTAGGAGAGAAGTCTGGCTGGAGATATTAATCAGTATTATTTTTGCTAAATTCAAATACCAAAACTTGAAATCCTCTCTTACATTAATTTATAAACCTAGTCTAATACTCTTACAATTTGAACATTGGGGATTCCTCAAAATATACATTAAAATGGTATTATGAAACATATCTTTCAGAAACAGCTTTTCAGGGTAAGGCAATCAAAGGTGTGAAAATATCCAGTGACTCCTTTAAAAAATTATTTACTATGGGAGGTCATCTGTCAGTTTGTGTGTGTATGTGTGTGTGTGTGAGAGAGAGAGAGAGAGAGAGAGAGAGAGAGAGAGAGAGAGTGAGAGAGATTGAGAGAGGGGAAGCGAGGGAAAGAAGGATGATTTAAATGTAGAGACCATTTCCTGGCGAAAAAAGGCCCATTCTCCCTGAATGACCAGGTGGCTCTTGCCCAAGCATAGAGAGCAATTCAGAGCCAAGTATAATGAGCTCATAATATAATATAGCTAATCCAATGAACTGAAATGAAATTTTTTGTTTTCTTAACAGTTTCCCTAATGGCTGGATCATTGCTTGGTACTTAGTAGGAACTCAACAAATATTAACTGAAAGAATAAATGAAAGGCCCTAATTGGTGCAATTCTGTACAGCAAACATTTCAATGAGGTTCTTGTGGATTTCTACATGTGGGCTATATCTGGTCTGGGAAAAGTTCTCATTTTCTTGTTGTATACAATAACTATTTCTAATAAAGAAAGGTGACATTATGTATTTTACTTTAGCATTCTTCTTTATTAATATTTTAGGTTTGGTTGACCTTGGCAGATCATTATTTGCATAGTATAGCCATTGATTGGGACAAAACCATGCGCTTCACTTTCAATGAAAGGAGTAATCCTGATGATGACTCGATGGGAATTCAAATAGTCAAGGTAATGCCCCTGAACATGGCCTATTGCCCTCACTTAGAAGGAAGGTTCTAAGAGCCAGATGTTTTCTGGATAGAGGATCAGGCCTTATGGTCTGAATGTCTGTATACTTTCTGCTTCTCATTTTATTTGTTAATAGCTTTATAATGGGAAACTTTGACTATGCCTTGTCTTCATAAATTTGTTTGTTGCCAGTAAGGAGAAAATGATAGGAGATTGAAATTCCCTTTTTTTTCTTTAGTGTGGGTCAGTGCTGTTAACTGGATTTTTACATAAGTCACTAAGAAATTTAAAGTTAAATGTATTTCACATTAAAACAAATGGGCATTTATTAGGGTCTTTGATAATTTCTTAACTGTCAGTTTGTGACAATAGATTGACTGGCAGGTCTGTTTTAAACCAGATGGTCAAGAGTTCAAGCCAGCTGTGGAGGCAGCTGTGGTTTGCCTACCTGGATTATTGCAGTTGAGGACAGCCTGGTGCCAAAAGCCAGGGACGCTGATTCAATTTGATCCTACTATTATTCTCTTACATAAGCCTCTAGGACATGGTTTTTGATTTTACATGAGTATTACAGTATGATGCTAACCTGAGGTAAAATTTATAGTCAATTAGCTTTTCCTGCAATTATTTATTTTTTTAGGCGAGGCAACCCTTGTTTGACCTCACAGATTGCAAGGACCTTGTCAGCTTACAATTCCTTATTTTTAATTTTTTACACCTACAGCACCTGGTCTTCCTAGGTGGTCTCCCATCCAAGTACTAACCAGGCCCGACCCTGCTTAGCTTCTGAGATCAGATGAGATCGTGCTTGTTCAGAGTGGCATGGCCGTAGACTAAGCTGAAGTTTTAAAAGGAAAGTTGTTTCATCTAAATTTTGGCCACCACAAGATAGCTGATATTTTGGAAAATTTGAAGATATATTTTTTTTTCAGGAGGAAGTACTAACCAAAAGGAGCTACTTTCTTTCTGATATGGTCTGTTTCAGCCAAATGCTAAAAAAATTTATGGAAATATATATTGTATGCTTGAAAAGCCTTTGCATTATCCACATTTCAGCTGTTTGGAATTTCAGAATATAATTCTCAGAGATGAAGTATTCCATATTTGAAATATTTTTTCTGTGTAAATTGTGAATTAAGACAATACACATTTTATAACAACCATGTTATTAGAAGATCTTTTATTTTTTTATTGAAGTGAATGCTAAGTCAGTAAAATGACATCAGCACCTGAAAATTGTAATCTCTGGTAATAAAATTATAGATATTGCCCTGATTAAATATTAACATTTCTGTCTATTTTATACAAATTTACAAAACAATTTGGTGGAATGATTTTTCTATTTTGGATAGAATGATTTTTATGTCTATAGTACAGGTTGCATTTTTTGCTATTTTGATTTTGCTCTTGAATACTGTTTGGAGTTTTGATAGCTAATTATTATATCATTTTTTTTAGAAAGAAATAATGTTGGCATCTATCATACATATGCTGAAATGACTTATTTTACTGGAGACATTATTAAAATAAACTTTTAATTTATATGAAATTATAATGTAATTTTTGTTAATTCTGAGACTCTATTTGTGTTAATTCTGGAAACATTGTAAGTAGAAAATTTGCCTTACTGATATTCCTCTTGAAAATGTCATATTAGAAAACATTAGGGGAAAAAAACTAAAAAAAGTTTGTTTTGGCCCACATGTATAAGTTGCATATACATTTTTAAAAACTAAAATACATGTTGGTAATCAGACTCTATTTAATGCAGAGGCAAAGAAGTAACTACAGCCTTCTCGCTCTCTTTTTTTTTTTTTGAGATAGCGTATAAGGAATCATTTAAAAAAATATTGTTTCTTTCTCATTGTAGGATCTTCACCGCACAGGCTGCAGTTCTTACTGTGGCCAGGAGGCGGAGCAGGACAGGGTTGTGTTGAAGCGCGTCCTTTTAGCCTATGCCCGATGGAACAAGACTGTTGGGTATTGCCAAGGCTTTAACATCTTAGCTGCACTAATTCTGGAAGTGGTGGAAGGCAATGAAGGGGATGCTCTGAAAGTGAGTATCAAGACCTGAAGAAGGCAGCTGAAATTTTTCAGAGAGTGAAATATTAGGACTACAATTTCTCTTTCTCTTCCTTGATACCCACTCCCTTCCAAGGTGTTTGCCACACCTTGGCAATTACCTATGACGCTATTTCCCCTAGGTTAAATCCAGGTCAAGTGGCAGACTCATGCAGCTGTCAAATGTGAAGAGAATGATTATGTTTTCAGTCTCACTTATAAGACATCATATTTTAAAGAAAATTAAATAGTAATTAATTATCCATTGCTGCATAATAAATTTGCTACTTAAAAGAGCAAACATGTACTACATTACAGTTTCTCTGAGTCAGGAATCTGGACATGGCTTCACTGGCTTAAAGTCACATCATTATGGCATTCAAACTGTTGTCTGGGGCTGTGGTCTCATCTGAAGGCTCAACTGGGTTGGAGCATTTACTTCCAAGTTCATACATGTTTTTGTTGGCAAGATTTAATTCCTCACAGGTAACTGGACTGAGGACCTCAGTTCCTTGCCGGCTATTAGTCAGAGGGCTCTCCGTCTCACAACACAGTGGCTGGTA